TGACCAAAAATGGGTTTAAAAAGTCTTTTTTTAATCTATTTACTTTAAAATTTTTATTATTTAATGTATCACATATAGAAAATTTAATAAAGAGATTAAAAAAAGATTAAATTTTAAACTTTAAGGACAAAAAAAAAGTCTTTTTAAGTAGATGAATTAAAAAAAACTTTTACCAAAATAGAGGAAACAAAAATAAAGTTTTAATCTTTAATGTAATGTTGGATAAATAATTTTAATTTTGTAATTAGACAAATTGTAAAATCAGTTATCGTTTAAAAAAAAATTCCTATTTTAAGATGTTGAACTTTTATACTCCTAAAATCTAATTTTTTTAAATTCCTGATGTGCATTGGTGCTTATGACACACTCTTGTATACAGAATACACAAACTTACAAGTTAGGTATATTAAGTTTTACAAATTTCATTTCGTTACTTATCCGCCAACGTACATAAAGGTCATGGAAAGGGTTGGTTATTAATTTATTTAGTAGCAATTGACAAATTAGTCAGCAAAGATACAAGTATTGATGAATGGGTGTGGGTGTGGGTGTGGGTGTGGGTGTGGGTGTGAAGGCATTCTGCGTGCTGCGTCACCCACTATCACTAATGAATCCATTACCCCTTTGCCCTCTGGACGCCTGGATGAAACCAATCCTCCTTTATAAGCTAGAAACTAAAAATATCAACTTCACTATGTATTATTTATCATAAATTTTTTTAATATAAATTATAATTTTTTGTGTAGTTTAAGTACTGAAATTATGTCCCACATTCGGTAGCCAAATGGCCACCCCCTTGTAAGGGACATGCGTAGGACTACAAGGACTTCAAATCAATCCCAAGTCCCTCCTTCCTCCTTCCCCCAAGAAAAAAAAAAAATACTGAAATTATTAAAATATACTTAGTAAAACTCTTTTTATGTCATACTTTGAAAATTTTAATACTCAAACAACACAAAAAAATATATATTCTGTTTTGAAAAACACTTATCTCATTTATTATTAATATAAAAATTTATAACCCTAAAATAACGAGAAAAATATAAATAAATATACTAATTTTGTATTTTTTGTTTTAAAATATTAATTTTATTAATTTTTAAATAAAAATATTAGTTTTTAATTTTTAATTTTTTTTATTTAAGATACTGCATCACTATCTAATTATTTATTAAATAAAAAAAATAAAAAATTAATATCTTTAAATAAAAAATTTTAAAATTAATCATTTTAAATATAAAAATAAAAAATTATAATATTAGCATTCTTTTTAGCCTATAATTACTTCGGTAAATTACAAAATTAACACTACAATTTTCTGCACTTGGCCCAAACGACCAATTGGCAGCATGTCAATTTAAGATACAACTTATTAAAAAAAAAAAAAAAACACTACAATTTCCTAAAAGTCAGAGGGAGCTGTTTCCAACCTACTTCAACCATACATTTATATCAGCAAATAAATCAGCAAGCCTCATTTCGTTACACGTAAGACTAAAATTCATTTTTTACGGCTTGGCATCACGTGACCAGGAGTGGCAATATATTTTTTTATTTCTTATAATTATAAATATTTTTTTATTTTAATTATATGACGAGAAGTAATTAAATTATATTTTTTATTTTATTTTATTTGTATATTAGGTGAATTAAACTTAAAATTTTATATTTTTAATAAAAAAATAATTACTAAATTATTTAATTTGTTGTTGGATATAATGATAAAACATTAAACCAACATTTTCGAAAATTAAAAAGAAAGAAAAAGTAAACCGCCATTTTCCGTCATTTTTTGAAAAAACTGCATTAAAAGTTTTCACTCTTTTTTTTTTTTTATTTTCTATGAAAAAATGCTTTCTTAGTTCCAATTATACAAAATAGTTACAATTAAAGTTGTGAAAATATTTAAATATTTTTAATTAATATTTCTTTTATGTTATTAATTAAATATATTCTAACTAAAAAACCTCAAAACTCTTAAAATATAGAATAAATATGTAATTAATATATATTTTTATGATAATTGATACTGTTTTAAAAATAAAAATTTTAATATTAATTTAATCCCTTATGTTACATAAATAATTTTAATTAAATAAAAATTAATTTTTATTTTTAATAATTACTATAAAAAAAGTGCCTTTAACTTTATACCTTATAGAAAAAGGCTTATATAATAAATGTTAAAACAAAGAAATAAAGAGTTTAAGTAGAAAACTTATTAAAGATATTAAAAAATACTTAAAAACTTTTAATGTAACATTAATCTTCTTCTTAGGTGGTTAATTAAAAAATCAATTTTTGTTCTTATAATTAGGTGTTATGAAAATATTTAAATATTTTTATAATATAAATTACATTTTTATTAAATTTAAAAGGCATTAACAAGAAGTCAAACTTTCGGGATAATGATTCTTTTCTAAATTTTAGTGAAAAGAACTTATTAAGTAATGCCTCTAATTTTATGAATGAGAAAATAAGTGTTTAAAAATTAATAAAAAAGATCAAATTAAAATCGAAAAGAATTTTTATAGTATATTTCATTTCTACTATATTTTTTTATATCCAGCAAACAAAAACCCAAAATCTCATTTTTCCTTATTTTCTCTTCGAAAAAAGAAATTAAATTAAAAAGGTCTCCTTGTCCGGACAAACCCTAAACAATTTCAACACGCACACACAGAGAAGCAGAACGAGTCGTGATTCGCTAATGGAGAGAGAATCGCTGAGTTGAATCCGACCCAGAAAGATCCGAGTCAAAGTGCTGCGCGAGAATTCCTCAATGGGTGCTGCGGGCTCCAAACTCGAGAAAGCATTGGGCGACCAGTTCCCCGAAGGCGAGCGATACTTTGGCCTCGAGAATTTCGGCAACACCTGCTACTGTAACAGTGTTTTGCAGGTTTTTTGTGTCTCTTTTCTTCTTCCAAAATTCATTTGAATCTAATTTGGATTTTGTTTGTTCTTGGTTCGTCGATGGCGGTAAATGCTGTTTTTTCGTGGTTGTTTATTCTCTTGTTGGTTTTTTTATGGGTTTTCTTGATTTTGCTTCTCTTTACGAATTAGCTTCTTAATTCTTATATATAAAGAGGTAGTCTTGCAATTTATGGCATTTTCTTATGTATTTAATCGATTGAATCTGAATTTTGATTTAGAATTTTGATCTTTCCGTTTGAAAATTTATTTTCTGTACCTTTTCTTCTCGATTGAGGGGAGGGGTTGGGGCTGGATTGAGCCTGTGTAGTTTGAAGGTGGTTAATTGATTTGAAGGCTGTTCAGATGTTCTAAAGATGCAGCTTATTGATTAACCATTTTTGGATTCTGATCTTAACTCTGTTAAGGATTGAGTGATTCTCTTCAGTTGTATTCAATTAGTTAGAATTATGTTTGGGTTTGATTAATTCCTTCTACAGTTTATATATAGACCTGCAGCGCTAGGATTTTCAAGTTTTTGGGAGTAATAAGAGCGATATAAGTTGATATTGATTATGAGCATTAAAATGGATTGTTGATAGAGATATTTAAATTTTGAGTACTCTTTTTCTGTATGAATTCTAACATGTTGCTTGAACAAACTATTAAACTTCTTTTTAATGATGTGTTTCCTTCATATAATTTATGCTTTGTGGTTTATTTACTTTGTTTTGATTGAATTATATTTAGCAACTATTGTCTTATGCAATATGCGATATTTCTTTTGGTTGCATTCATAGTTTTAAGGTTCTGTTAATTGCAGATTGTTAGACTTTGTTTATTATCAGCATCAGCATTAAATTCTCATTATAGCAGTATAGCTCTAATAAAGTGTAACTGCTTTTGTCTCTGAGATCTTTTCTATGTTTATACTGTTACTTCAATTCTTGTTTCCTGGGAATAATTATTGGAAGCACTCATTAAATGCATGACACATGATACTTTTGTCTATATGGTTATCCAGGAGAGAGAAAAATCCAGATAGTTTTATGTTATCTTGGCAGGCAATGAAGTATTCCTCGTAAAATGTTGGAAAACTATTCAATATCATTCTCCCATTGATTTCTTATTTTCTGTTTACTGTTTTCCTGGTGCAGGCACTTTACTTCTGTGTTCCATTTCGTGAACAGCTGCTAGAGTATTATGCGAATAATAAAAATGGTGTTGATGCTGCTGAAGAGAATCTACTGACATGCTTGGCAGACTTATTTAGCCAGGTAATGGCTCCTTTGTAGATGCACTGTAATTGGGTTATGCTTTTTCTACCATTTATGAGCAAAAAGAATGTAGAGTTTATTTTTTTGCCTCCTGGTAGATTTAGATGTTCTTTTACTTGATATTTTGCAGCAAATATATTTATTTGAATGAATCATTTTTTTTTTAATGATAGTCTTATTTGTTGTTTCCCTTTCCTTCTCACATTTCTCTATAAATTTTCAATGCTTATTATAGCACCCCATTTTATTTATTTTGTCTTTACTCTCTCATCTCCACAATTTTGGATGCCATTTCATGACACATATGGATTTTTACTTTATTAATCTTTCACAATGGTGCTGGACCCAATAGTTGATTATTCCTCTGTACAGATAAGTTCACAGAAGAAGAAAACAGGTGTCATCGCTCCAAAGCGCTTCGTACAGAGATTGAAGAAACAAAATGAACTTTTCCGAAGTTATATGCACCAGGTAGTGGCCCATCCATATTTTGTCTTACAAAATTAAAGTACCATCTCATCTTTGAAATTTTACTGCATCATTAACTTTTGAACATTTCAAGGAGTGGGAGGGGGGTGGTTATAGTTCAAACTAATTAAGTGATGCATTTTCAATGGCATATTGACCAAATATTTGATTTTCTTTACCCCCCCCCAAAAAAAAAGAAAAGCTTTGTGAGGAGAAAACATTTATCCCTCTTTTCTCTGGTAGGATGCACATGAATTCTTGAACTTTTTGCTAAACGAACTTGTCGACATACTGGAGAAAGAGGCTGAAGCAGCAAAAGCTGATGCAGCAGAAACTTCATCACCATCTGAAAAAACTGCAAATGGGCCAAAGAATCCTCAGGCAAATGGTGTTCTGAAAGAGCCTTTGGTTACCTGGGTGCATAAAAATTTTCAGGTTACTTGGCTTGAATAATTCCCATTTTCAGTTTAACTGCTTGTGTTCTGTGTTTAATTTGTATTATATGAAAAAAGAAGTGGAGTCTTCCTATTCTAAACATCTGGACTTTATCAAATTTAGGGAGTTTAACCAGTGTAAAGTACCATGAGAAAGATTCTATATAGAAATGGTACCTAATCCATGAATTAATGCACAAATTAAGTCAGTCAAGACTGAGTTTTTTGTTGTCTCAAAATGTTTTGATATTGATAGGATGATTAAGCCCTTTCTGGCCTTGCTGGCAAGCTACTGCACTCTTGTCCTTTCAAAATATCTTTTTCTGCATTATTTGCTAATTTACATCCCTATTATAGAATGTGTGGAACAGGCCATTGCCTCCTTTTAAACTTTTTCTTTTTGCTTATTGACAATATAAATACATGATAGCTCCTGCCTTTGTCTTTTTCTCAGAAGGAGAGAATATTATACTGCTCATTTATTATCCCATGTTGAGTGGCAGGCAATGCTACTGTGAAATAAATTCTTGAATATTGAGTGCATACACACTCTCTTCCTTTTCGCAGTGTGTCTGCATGCAAACACTACAAATTTGTCTTAATATTTTAGTAAGGGTCTCACTATCTGATATGTCTGAGTCAGGGAATACTTACCAATGAGACAAGATGCTTGCGGTGTGAGACTGTGACGGCAAGAGACGAAACTTTCTTTGACTTGAGTCTCGACATTGAGCAAAACAGTTCTATAACTAGTTGTCTGAAAAATTTTAGTTCTACAGAGACTTTGAATGCAGAGGACAAATTTTTCTGTGACAAGTGCTGCAGGTAGTAGCTCTGTTATGTCTCTTTAGTTTGCATTGATTTGTGTAGACATATCTTCTGCATGTAAAATTTAGTGCTATTCGTACAACTCTGACTTGGTTAATTATCAATCTTTGATATTGTCATTCATAAGATACCAACAAGATGGACAGAATATCTGGATTTTTTTCCTGTAGAAGATCCAAGGATTCAACTAACCAAACAGTAACCATTCTTGTTATTTGCAGTTTGCAAGAAGCCCAGAAGAGGATGAAGATAAAGAAGCCTCCTCATATCCTGGTCATCCACCTTAAGCGTTTCAAGTACATTGAGCAGCTTGGCCGGTACAAGAAGCTTTCTTACCGCGTTGTGTTCCCGCTAGAGCTTAAGCTGAGCAACACAATGGAAGATGCAGATTCTGAGTATTCCTTATTTGCTGTAGTTGTCCATGTCGGGAGTGGACCCAATCACGGGCACTACATCAGCCTTGTGAAAAGCCATAACCACTGGTTATTTTTTGATGATGAAAATGTGGAGATGATCGATGAGTCTGCGGTACAAACATTTTTTGGGTCAGCCCAGGAGTATTCCAGTAATACAGATCATGGGTACATCTTGTTCTATGAAAGCCTCGGTGCAAGCAGCAAGAGCTGAGAAGAGCTATTGTTTTACAGAGAGTAGGTGATCAATTGGACTTATTTTTTCTCTCGTCTATCTTATCATTTTTTTTTCCTTCTACTCTCACTTACCAACCTTGTGAGGAGCTCATTGATATCAGTGAGTTGATTTGGGTTGTTAAAATTTGTATACTTGGGTTGTTGCCATGTACAGTGGATGGAGGAAGCCCACCATCCTTTTGTTTTCCTTTTTTTTTTTTTCACAATAAGAGGGAAAAGAGCAGTGTATATGGTGTGAGAATATCACAGACAATTTGTATTCTTCATGCTTGAGAATGTTTTAACATTAGCAATGCAACTAGAAGCTTGTGACAATTTTCACATGTTATAAAATGAGTGATGCATTCAATATCATGAGTTTCACATGATTTAAAAAACCTAATCATTTAAATGACTTGTGAAGTTATTTCAAAATCATTTTTTTATTTGGTTATTAGAGAATCTAAAAAGTACACTTTAAGAATCCAAAAAGAATATTTTAAAATATCTAATTAGTAAGTATAATTAGGATTTTCACTATACTAAAGTATCTAAAAAGAATATCTTAAAATTTTAACATTAAAAAATTAATCATTATAATTAAGATTTCTACTTTGGCGACACATTTTAGAGTTGTAATATAATTACTCATATTATTGAGATGATTAATTATATAAGTATTTTAATGATATAATAGATTTTTTTTTTATTATCATTGACTTATGAGATGTTTTTTTTAAAAGTACTTTTTGAGATATAATTAATTATACTCTAAATGTGAATATTTATGTGTATTTAACTCTGAAAAAAATGTTCCAAACACAAATCATGACGCAAAAGCTCACGATTTCCCTAGATATTATTTCCGGAGTTCCCCCCCCATGTCTAGACGCACACTGGAGTATAACCAAGTGAGGGAAGAGGTGGGATTTTGTAGACGAACCCCCAAAAGACTATGTTATGGAAATTTTCAGTCTGCCATTGATGTCAAAAACATGTCTCAGAAAATGTAGGCACTTGCTGCATTTGTTATTATTGTGTATGCATCGCAAGAAAATCTTGAGATATCGAAATCAAGCATGGCTTCAGGCAATCTCTCCAAATAGTATAAAAATAAGTTGTTGATGCAATATACCATAAACTTTTAATTAGCAACTACTGATATAAAAACAATCATGCAGCACGGCCGAATGGAATTTGGGTAACATGGCTGCTATCTATTCGGGTACAGGGGTCATTACAAGAATTAGCTACATTTACAAACAAATTCTATTATGACTAACCAACTGAGCAAATATTAGCCAAGCCACATATGATTTACAAGAAAATATAATGAACCAAGGATGAAGGATGTATTCAAGTTCCTGTGGACATGAAAGAGTCATCATCTAAAAGTGCTTCAATATCTAACAGTTCGTCAAAACCACTTGGATCCGGGGCATGGAGCTGCAAAGTCAGTTAAAGGAAACAAAGTTCATACATCCCGTATCATGTTGGATAAAGAAACTATCAATACGCCAAAAAAATAAAATGCTCCATCCTAACGAGCTCCTGACATCAAACTTTTTATTCGTACTATGTAATGGAGAACAAAAGGTACCAACAATTTCCATAAATGAAGAAAATCTCCTCTGGAACAAGACAGACAACTAATGCAACCTCAAATTTTGACATGCTCTTAATTCCTTCCGTATCAGATATCCAGGATATAACTTGATCTTATCAGCGATAATTCCATAAGATATTGATCTGTATGTAAATTTAAAACATTTTCTATTTATACCTAAGAAATTTAGGATTGTGTAAAACGTTAGGTGAAATCAGTTATGATTACTACTAAAAGAGTAAAGAAACTGAGAAAGAAAACAATTCAGTTACCCTTTTCTCTTGGATCTCAGTGGCAACATGCAGCAGTCTGCGATATTGATCTCTGCCTTCAGGATACTGAACCATAGACTTTACCCTAGCGAGTGCCTTCTGCATTCTTTCTTCTGTTTGTTTCCTGCCTTCTTTCAGAAAATCATAGTCATCATCTTTTGAGGATTCTTCATGCATATTAGGAGTCTCAGGAGGTGCTTCTGGCTTAAAACCACGCAAACCACTCCCTTTTCTTCTCCAACGCAAGATCACCTTCTCCAAAATTCCTACAGACCAGGTTATTTTCCTATAGTTTTTCCTGACTTGGTGACCTCTTACATGAGCCTTTCACCAAAATAAAAACTTAAAGTCAGATTCACATCTGAACAGGGAAGATAATCCATGGGGCGTGGGGGGGTGGCTGCCAAGCAAGGATATGGTCAACCAGGTTAATTAGAGAAGGAAATGCAATTTACCTGAATTTTGACAATTTTCTCTCGGATTATCATAAACTGTTTTCTATCCTTCCAACCACGGAATTTGTTTTGTATGCGAGTTGCAGCTGCATGTGCATGTTTATCTTTTTGTCCTGGCTTGTAAGACTTAACCGCTAAAAGTGAAAGTGCACGCTCTTCTGACATTCCAAGATTGTCATCCCCATACTCTTTTAACTGCTTTTTTTGGAAGGAATGCACCTGGTTAACCTGATGAATACGTGAAAAAGCTTTGTTAGCATTACGGACAGCAGCCAATGAGTCCTCTAGTGACAGGACATCTGATGTGTTGTCTATGCTAAATGGAGTTGCAGTTCTTTCTGAAAATTCCTGCACTGCTTTTGCTCCTTCTGCAGCATGACCATCTTGGTTATCCAAATTAAGGGATGAAAGGTGGGCACTTAAAGAACACTCTGCAAGGTATCCAGCAATTCCTTTATGTCCATTAGCAGAGGCCAGGTCAGCGGGTGCTCTGCCTAAAGGATATTTAGGTGATGGATCTGTTACTGCTCCAGGAGCTGCACCCAAAGAAATGAGGGAAGCCACTGCACGCTCTCTGAAGTCAAAGGAAGTTTATGTTAATAGAAATAGGTAGGTAATAGCACATAAAAGCTGAATGAGTCAGGAAAACATGAGCAAATAATAGATAGGCTAAAAAGAAAGAAAAGTCCTATGAGAAAGGAACCAACCCTTGGATTACAGTAGCCCTCTCTAGTGTACTAAAGGACAAAAGGAAAATACGAAAAACAGGAAAAGCAAAAAAGAAACATAAGAGGAAAAGAGTATCCTCTAAAGAAACACAAAAAGTAATTGTTAAGGTGCTCACCTGCCACAAGATGCAGCCCAATGAAGTGCAGTCCATCCATTCACATCACGGAAATTAACACTTACACCAGCAACTACAGTAGGTTCAAAAGCCCAATCATAGCCAAGAGCAGCTGCAAAATGTAGTACACCTTGGCCACCCTCATCCAACACACTAGGGCCTTTACCACCTTCAGCTACTTTCTGTATGAGCCATACACGCAGTTTTTCTTTCAGCGGCATCTTCTGATGCAGTTCCTCCATTAATTTTTCCGAATGACATTCCTCTTCCGAACTAAACTTTAACATCTCCTCCCATCCTAAGGTGTCCTTGAGCAACGAATTAATTCTACTGCTCAATTGGGACACATCATCGAGACTGCTGGTTTCAGAACTAGGAGTACTGGAGCTTAAGCTCAAGAATTTACCAAATCGAGAAAGAAGATTTTCACTGTTGGCACTGCAGTTATCTGCAGTATTCATATCATCAGAATGGCTGACTCGGTATTCAAATTCTCGCACTTCGCTACAAGCCAGTCTATTGGAACATGTGACATAGAAAGGAACCCAGCCAGCCTCATGTGTCGGAGTATGGCAATGAAGAACACCATCTGCTACAACCTTGGCTGGAACTTCAACTTCCCCAAACATACATGACCATTTACAATTTTCTATCACATCAGGACTCTTCAAGAATCTTCCTCTGATCAGCACCTGTACAAGTCATTAAAGAAAATTTAAGGGAAAAAAAAAATCAAATACATAATACATACAATGATACAACTCTAACAAGGAAGTCTGCCCTGACTGATATTGTGAAAAACAAATATTCCTTTGCTCAGTTGATATAATTATATATGTATTAACAATTGTGTGTATAGATTACCTCGGTTTTAGAGCCTCCATATGCCCAATTTGGTGAGAAATCAACAATGCTAAAAAGTTGATCCTGAGACAAGTAAGGACCCAATGTAAAGGTATCTGTTTTTCCTTCAGATGGAATGCCAGATACATCAATCTCATTTCCATTGTCAACTGTTTCCCAGTTGGCCCCAGAATTTGACTGCATATGTGACTCATCTACATCTGTAACATCTCCAAGTTCCTTGCTCATCCAGCGGCTAAAACTGTCAAGCTTTTTTAACCCCTCTCCTGATAAAGAACCATCTAACAAATGCTGCCTTATAGCAGACGGGTAGATTGACTTTCCCTCCAAGTTCAAGTCACCATCTGAATCTGGTGGAAGAACATAAAGATGCTCTCCATTTGAAAGCCGTGTTTGGGAGTCATTTTGCATAGAATTATCAACATCAGAAACCTAGATAGACGTGAGGAATCAACGTCAGAAACCTGTTTTGAAGGCTAATTGAAGCCTGAAATACAATTAAATTGGAAGCAGAAATCATAGATACATGTCTGATTTACTGCATTTACACATCAGCAATTTTAATTAACTAGTACCTGAGACTCTTCTTGCATTAGTGGGTGCCCCCCAAACTCCTGCCTTTTAAGGAAGTTGTTGCTCAAAATTTGGCCCATGGTAGCAGGTTGTGTAGAGGAAAATGATGCTTGGTTTTGCATGGATTGCATGCCAGGAGTAAAATTTTCCAAGATATCTTCCCATAGTAAAAAGTCCAGTTGCTTCTGGGACTCATATGATAATTCAGAATCATTGCCATATTTTCCCTTGCCTGCTTGAATGGAGGCTATATCCATACCAGGAACCACTGACAACTTTCCTTCAAAACTATCTGTTTTCAGTAAACAACATTAAGAATTAGAAACAGCTAAAAAGCAACACTTTAACACATAGAATAATACCATTTAAAAAAAAAAAAAAAAAAAAAAAAAAGTAAACATTTACTTGAATAGGACTGAGGAACATAAGGATCAGAGGTTCCAGCATCAAACTTCTCCATAGTAGGCTGTTGTCGCTCATAAAAAGAATGGAATCCAGAAGTTGCTTGGGGATTATACACTGCAATTAATGCAAAATTTATTAAAAAGAATAAGAAACATGTTAACACATTCATCATTCTCAAAGCTATCTTCTTTGAAATTGCATAGTGTTGAAAATTTATGACATATTATACATTTGGACCTATTGAAACTAAAACAAATGCACCTGACTCAGCATCTTCATATTCCGATGCATGTGCACTATTTAGGCTTGTTGTATCGGTAGCATGTGTAGTTGAAGGCACTTGGCAATTATTTGGAAGAAATCTGGAAGAAATAGAACTTCCTGCCTCAGAATTGGGCATAATTTCTCCCATTTCTTGGGAATATGGAGTAGCAGCTTCATTCTCTCTAACACGATTAAAATTTGCTCTGTTTCCCTGATAAAGTTTCAGAAAATACAAAATAAATAAATAAATAAATTAGTTCATCTTATTGAGGAGGGTAGGAGACCAGAGGATATTAAAAATTATGGTTTCCATACCACACAATTGAAAAGTAAAGGGAAAAAATATCACAATGAATGCATGCCCTTGTACCCTACAAGTTCATTTCATTAAAGAATAATCAAATTATGTTTTTTAAGGTGCTGATGCCTATCACTCCCGGTAACTCTAGATACCAATGAGATAGGATAAGAAGTCTTACCTTTACTTCCAGGTAGTGGACAAAAACAATGTGTGAGAGTTTCCTGCAACAGTGGTCATGTGTGTCAGAAAAGGAAGACAGTATCTAACAACATTCTGAAATTAACAATTTCTAAGTTAACACACTGTGTACCAATATTCTGAAAACCATGATATCCAATTTCTGGAAACAAGTGGGAAGGTCCATCAGAATATAACCATTCTTTTCAGTTTATGCTTTAGTGATCAAACCCATACAAGTTACCAACATTTGACTCCATGCTAGGGCAGGTTTTTAGAAGTTCAGAAGACGAGAATACTGATTCAAGATTCTAAATTTCAACCAAAGCTGACAGTAATGTCAGAGGATTTGGAATAAATATACCAAAATTCAAAAAAGTAAGGTAGGGCAATGGGGTCGGAATGAGGTAGACCCTAACTGCAGGGCAAATCAGGGAGGTAAAAGAATTCATGACAAGTCATGTGATTGATGACAAAAGAAATGTTGAATGCCAAAAAATAATAATAAAAGAAGTTTTCTATAAATCTACACAAGGCATGCGAATGAACACAAAGAATAAGGGAATTAAACTTTACAAACTCACTCTTCAAGCATCCAATAACTGCGTCGTTGAAAATTTTCATTTTCTTCTCCGTGGGCATAGTAACAGTGCAGAACATCAACACTTCCAACCTGCAAGTTTTAATTTTGTTAAATATATAAGATTTTACACAAAAGATTTCATAAAAATTGAGCTTAACTATCACAATTCATTCAGATAACCAAATAATAAAGTACCAGCACATAGCAGCATCACTTAAATGTGTTTCAATCAATTTTGAAGTGGTGTTTTCCTTCCTTAAAATAGAAAACCAAATATGGCATCTTTGGTCCTTACCTTCAGCTTTTCATGGGCTTCCTTTACAGTCTTTCCATCTTTTTTCTTTCTCCAATTATGCCCATCCTTCCTAAAGTATCTTAGCACTTTCCGATCAAAAAGGAACAGAGAGCCACCTGAAAAAGTGAAATGTATATAACACCAAGCTGTGATTGGAAGAATACATTAAAAATTTAAGCATGCACATTTCTGTATGTATGTTTGTCAAATTCAGAATATTATTTAAGAAGACCACAATATTCAAAATACAGACATTCATGAAAAGACCCACAACCATTAACGTTTTGTTATCCATAAGACTTATATTGTTTGTGGAAGGATAAGCCTAGCCAAATCATACTTGGTGGTGCATTTGGAGGTTCTGCGGAAATATGATATTTCTGATAATTTTCAAGAACTTCACAGATTTCAGCGGGGCGTAGCCACCGATGTTGTGCTTCTAAGAGTATCTGCTCAATATCTGTATCACAGCAGATAAGAATATCTTAATAAGCATGAAAATTATCTAAAATTATAACAAGCAGTATAGGAAACCATAATAAAGTCCTTGAAAACACACTAATTCGACAATCCACAGTATTGCATATATAGACAGACAAACACACAGTACATGCATCCAGGAATCATTCCTTGCACGCTGGAAGTTGCCAAAACAATCCCAAATCCTTCAAACGTGGAGTATAACTACTAAGTATTACCACAAATATTTTCGGAAGTTAGGGATTCACAGAAACCGGTTTCAAATCCAAGGACTTGATATCAGTACAGACAAAATATTACACTCATTTAACTACTCTTAAATGAAAATTAGTTTAAATACTAACACATCTCAACTCACTCACACTACAGCATACCAACTTCCACATAACTAAAAATTCAAAGCACATACTAAATTCCTGTAAACAAAAATGTAGAACCAGCCGAAGAATTGAAGAAACCTAACATCCGCCATACATCCAAGTTAAAAACCGTAAAAAGAAACCTAACTATAATGAAGAAAAATTCAAGTCCATCATTCTTTACCTAATTGATTACCAACAACATAGCGCCTAGCCTCGGCCATCGTCTCCAGCTATTTTAGCACTCTGAGAATAAGAATCCTCACGACTACGAACTGAAATCGGAGCTATTCTGATCTGAGGAAATGAAACGCGGTGTATTCCAGGGAAGGAAAACACCCGCCCGTTCGAAGGAGAAGAAGAAGTAATAAAGACGACGGTATGACTGGAAGGAAAAAAATGAGATTTCCTCCCCGCAGTTTGACAACGGAAAAGGTTAAAGTTGCCGGAGAAAGAGAATTGTATCGGATCGTGAGCTGAGAAGAGAGATCGCCACCACAATGGAATTTTCCTAGTGAGAAAGCGACTCGGAGGAAATGTTAGTCCATCTTTGACGTAAGTTCGGGGAAATGCTGGTTTTTTTTTTTTTTTTTTTTCCTTCTTTTTTTACGAGTCCAGAAAATGCTCCTTATTAGTTTTACAGTCGTTTTGGCTAAAAGAAGAAAGGTGGATTTCGCAGGGCAACATTCCTCCCTTTTTTTTCTTTTTTCTGATAAATTTTTAAATTTTAGGGAAATTTTCTTATTGGTGAAAAAAAGAAAAAAGTGGAAAAACTTCAACTCGATGACAAAATGAGGAGGGAGGGATCATTTCATCCAACCAATTTAAGATGTTATTTCACAAAATCTTTTTTTTTCCTGTTTATTTCAAATTAAATAGACTATTTTATTTCTAGATTAAGGATCCATTTGGTTCATGATAAATAACATATTTTGAAAAAAATTTTTCTATAAAAAATATTTTTTTATAAATCATTTTCTTTTCTTTGAATGACTTTAACAAAAAAAAAATCATGGAAAATATTTTCTATTGTTTAGTTGATATTGGAAATCTTCATATTTTCTCTAAAAAGGAATCCATCATAGGGATTATATTGAATATGAAGAAAACTAATAGGACATATGTAAAAAGGAATAAATATTTGAGGACTTTATCAAGGACATTGCCCACACGTCTTTGCTTCCTCAAATGGGAGAAGTGTATTTGTCTTCTTCAAAAGACTCGAAGATCACCGAAGATGAGGGGTTGGATCAAGTGGTAAGCGGCTTGTTCCAGTTTAAACAAGGTTTAGAGTTCGAAACCTTGTGAATGTAGCAGCCTTCACTGGGAAACTCACCCACCATTTCTAAGTGCGCGACGCGGGTCGGGTTTGGATTAGTCGGGGTGAAACCCCGGATACCAGACGGAAAATCGAAAAAAAATGACTCGGAGACCAACAATCTCATGGATTCATGGGTCGTTCTCCTCGGAGGCAAAGGAGCTCTAGACCCCTCAACATGTGGTTGATGTAATTCTAGAATAGTTGAATATAGTGATGTAACTGTAATTTTTTGTTGATGAGAAAGAATGGTTAAACTTTGTTTCAAAATTGTAGATGATGGGTTAATGACGTTGGCACTGGCCACCGCCACTATGCTAGCAAAATTTGTGAAAGTATTCCATCAAAAGCCACTTCAGTCAAACCCAATGGAGCCACCATGGTTTTGGACTTTTTGAAATCGGATGTTGAAAATCATTTGAATTGACAAATTTAAATATTTAGATTTACGTGTTTTCAAAAGAAAGTAATTTTTTAAAAAATAAAAATAAAAAATTAATTTCTAGAAATATGCAATGATATTTTTTATTGACTAATGTTAATTTCCATTCATTGATTCTCAAGATGTCTCCCAAACTCATAAAAATAGAGAAAATAATTTTTCACAAACCAAATAAACCTTAAAATATTTTTTTAGTTTTAACATCTGTTTTGTTTTATGATTTTTTTTTATATTTCTAAACTTTTATACATTAATAATATATTTTAAAAATATTTTTAAATTTAATGTAATTTAAACTATAAAATAATATACGCTAATATATTTCCATCACAACACTAGAAGAAATACCCACAGCCAAGGGACAGAGCCATTGCCAATACCCATGGAAGATATTGCCCTCAAGGTTCGGGTTTCAAATCCTGCGAGGATCTCCCCTTCTCCCTCCTCTAGTTTTCACCTCCATAGTTCCACCCTTGTATAATTGAATAAGAAAAAGGAACATAAAAAGAAGGAAAAAAAAGAAAAAAAAACTATGGTATCAACATCAAATGACCACTTGGTTGCTTGAACAACAAAGTGTAATAACTAAATTTGAGATGCCACAACTCCATATGGGAGAAGAAAAATTCAACTTATATATTTGATAGGTTTTGGTAACATGTGTTCTAATATACAACTTAAAAAGTATTTTTTTTTTGTCATTAAATTTATTTGTATAAAAAAAATATAAAAACTAATATTAATATTAATAATATTATCATATAAATAAATTTAATTAAATAATTAATAAATTAAAATTAATTTTTATTCTTTTTATATAATTTTATAATAAAAATCATATTTAACACATTTTCAACTTGGATTGTAAACGTGCGCGTTAGAAAAATTATATTTGATAAATTGTTTAAGGCCGCCTAATCTTTGGGTCCCAACGAATGAGCCCATTGGATGCTCAGGCGGCCCCAATCCGCCATTCCACTCCGCAGTGACCTAACCATGATTCTGTATACTGCATCCGGAAAGAAGTAGAGAA